CCGGCGCCGGTGGGGCCCCTCGCTCTCCATGGGGCTGAGGGACTGGCTGAGGACCGTGTGCTGCTGCTGCCGGTGCAAGTGCCTGGAGGAGCGCGCCCTGCCTGAGAAGGAGCCCCTGGTCAGGTGGGTGCACCGCCCGGGCCGGGATCTGGGCTTACCTGGGCCGAGGCCGGGCGCCGGGAGTGTGGACACCTGTGTGCTTGTGTGAGTTGGGGAGGTGGGCTTGCTGGAAGGGCACGCGGAGGCGCCATCTCAGCCCCTTGGTTCCTTATAGGATGTTTTGCGTTTAATTCTTGGGTAAGATTTTTGCCGAAAAGCACAAATCTTCGGAGACACCTGAGACCCAGCTGGATGTCTGTACAAAGTGCCAAGAATTCGGGTGTCCTGCCTGGGCAGGGAAGTAAGGGAGAGAAGTTGATCAGAAGTTTCCATAGGGGTCTGATAAAATACAGCTGTGACTGGGTATTTGATCGGTATATTACAGTGAAATGGGCGGCTGTGGATTTCTGTGTCATTCAGCAAAAAAAGTTGTCTATTTCTCATTCAATTTTATTAACCCAGAGAAGACGATTCCAGTGACTGAGTATGAGGAAATATTTTTCACATGAAAAAAACGCATGTTTCATCAAGGGGCAGCCTATTCACTAGGATGTTGATTCATTACAGGTTAGGCTATGAAGTGTGAGGAAATGTAATGCTCATTAGCAATAAGCTAAGAGGCTTTGTGAAGAGACCATACCGGCCCAGTTTTGTTCAGGGCTGTGATTTTAAGCAATGATTTTCTATCTCGAGTTTGCTGAAATCGAGGCTGGACTAGGTCATGCCTCAGGGGTAGACATGACAGAAACAGAGTATTTAAAATGGAATTAGGAAACAGTATTTCAGGTGGAACCCCAGGGTTGAGTAAGCCTATACCGAAGCCAGGGTTTCTTTCTTTTGAAGTATGCAAGTCACGTAATACAGCTTGCACAACTTTTTCTAAGGGATAATTTACCTTTTCTTACTCTATCAAGTCCAAACACCCCCTTGACTTTGGAGATCTTACATAACCCCTTCCTGCCTGTCCACTGTGATTTTCCAGGACATTAAACAGTGTATACTCCTTGCGGCCGTGGGAATAATCCACTCATTCACTCCAACCCTCCCTCAAGTGGTGACCTTTATCCTTGCTCCTCCTTACCAAAAGCTGTTTTCAAGGCCTTCTCAAGCAATCTTCTTTGATTACTTTGCCCTTATCCATCTTCCTCTTGTAGGATGTAGGACTTAGAAATTACCATCTACTCCTTGCTGTTTGGTGAGCACACATGTATATAAACATGTGACTCATGTATATTATATATATAAAGTCATACACACAATACACGGTGTTTTTGATTGCTCTTGTCGATGGCACTCCCACTTAGATTTTTAGATTATTGTGGGTAGGGAGAAATGGAATAATCTATCTCTAATCTAATGGGTAGTGGGCAACTACAATCTAGAATTTTATGCTTAGGTTATATGCTGAATTTGTCAGGGCTCTTAGTAACATGAAATACAGGCTTGAGCTTAGTTTCATCCTCAGAGGCCTGAGTATTTCCAGTTTTCTGTCCAGGATTGCTGTTTCAGTTAATAGTTCTGGTGGTTTTAAGATTTAGACCCTCTCCTGTCTTGGCTTCTGTCTAGTGAGTACAAGTCAGTGAATTTTGCATGTGATTTTAAGAAGCCCCAGGGTCAATTGGAGCAGAATAGCATAGTGCTTGTGAATCAGGTTGCCTGGAAGGAGTCTGCTCACCCAACTGGGTGACCTGGCACAAGTTATTAAAATTATTTGTGCCTCAATTTCCTCATCTGTAAAATGGGGATGATAATGGTACATACTTCAAAGGGTTGCTGTGAGAGACCAAAGGAGATAATACATATAAAGTGGTTAGTAGAGAGTGTGACACATGGTTAACACTCAATAAATTGTAGTAATTAATTATCATTGTTATTCTGAGCATGTGGGTAGGAGTGGACTGGTCTCATGTGGTTTAGTGTCATACTGGCGTCATTTCCATATAATAATATTTGGGAAGAACAGCTTATTAATGGATACGTGGAACAGTGGCATGTGTGTATATGGGTACCTGCAGGTTCTTTCCTACACAAGGCATCTGAAGATTGGATCTGAAAGCTTTTTTTAGTTGATTTAAAATTTTTTT